TTTATAGATAAGGAGGAGACTGTTTTTGTCAGCTCCCCATTTGAAATGAGATAGTGTTTTAATGATTTTCATTTTACTATTGCAATTTATTTTTAGTTTTTTTAGATGACTGTTCCATGCAAATTTAGCGTCAAAAATCATTCCAAGTATACGAGTATTTTCTTTATATTCGATTGGTATGTTATTGATGTGAATTCGGTGTAGCATATCAGTTTTCTTTTTATTGAAAATTATGCATTGGGTTTTTGATGGTGAGAATTTAAAGCCAGTTTTAGATGACCATTGTAATAGTGAGTTGATAGAAGTTTGTAACAGGTCTACAGTAGTTTTGGTGTTGATTCCGCTACAGTAGATATTACAATCATCAGCGAATAACGAGTACTTAACAGGTTTCTGTATGTTGCTAAAAATGTCATTGATGGCAACTAAAAATAGTGTGACACTTAATACCGATCCTTGGGGTAGTCCATTCTCTGTTTTTGTATGATCAGAAAGTACATTGTCGAGTTTAACTTGTGTTGTGCGGTCGGTAAGAAAGTTATATAAGAACATTAACATATGGCCATCTATGGACCAGCTAGATAGGATATCGATAACTCTATTTTTCCAAACCATATCATACGCTTTTTCCAGGTCAAGAGACACAAGGATGGTATGGTTTTTTTTTTTGATGGATTCGCATATGTCTGTGTGTAGAGTAGCTAAAACATCTAATGTTGAATGTTTTTGTCGAAAGCCATATTGTTGTTTGATAAATTTATGGTTCGTTTCAAGGTACCAAACTAGCCGTCTGTTTACAATTTTTTCAAGTAGTTTGCAAAGTGTACAGGTGAGAGATATTGGTCGGTAGCTAGTAATATAAAATTTATTTTTTTCAGGCTTTAAAATTGGTTTTACAATTGCTTCACGCCATTTATTTGGTAGTATACCATATGTCCAGATAAGGTTATAGATTGCAAGGATGTGGTTAAGTGCATATTCTGATAGGTTTTTGATGAAGGCATACGGTATATCATCAGGTCTAGGACTTTTACTTGAGCATTTAGTTAATTCATAGTGTAGTTCTTTAATTGTAAGAGGGAGGTTGTACTCATAATCATTATTGTGAATATATGCATTTATGTCGAAGGATTCATCTTTGGTGTTTTTGTGGGTGATAAAATTATTTTCGAAGTTTGAGTTGCTGCTGTTATTTTGGAAATGTGTAGCGAATGTTTGCACAATTTCGGAAGTCGACGATAGTTCAAATTTGTTATCTCCGTGTTCATAGTATAGTGTTTTGGGTATTTGTTGGTATTTTATTCCTTTAAATGCTTTGATTTTATTCCATACAGTAGTTGAGTGAGATTGGTTGTTTATAGATGATGTGAATTTATGCCAGGAGCTAGTTTTGCATTTTTTTAGGATATATTTTGATTCTGCTCGTGCTTTTTTTAAAAGAATATGGTCGATTAGCAATTTAGTTTTCTTATATCGGTTCAGAGCTTTTTTATATTTTTTAATGGCAAGTTTACATTCCTCATTCCACCAAGGAACTATTTTTTTATTAATTGGTCGGTTGGATTTTCCTATAGCAATGTTGGCTGATTCGACAATGGCATTTGAGAGTTTTGTTACAAGGTTGTCAATTTTATTTTGGTCTATGTTCAGAGAAAAGATATTAGGGTCGTCAGATTCTAGATTTTGTAAGGTATGATCTACTAAGGAAGAGTATAGTTCCCAATTGGGGTTTTTAAGTTTCCATTTATTTATTGGTTCAGGTTGAGGTGCTTGTCCAAATAATTTTAGAAGTATTGGCCAATGATCACTTCCATTATAAGATGTTAATGTATCCCATTCTATGTCAGGGGCAATAGTCGAAGTAGCTATAGTGAGGTCAATTGCAGAAAGATTTCCATTAATGGGATTTTGTCTTGTAGGGTTGCCATTATTCAGGAGTATTAGGTTAGGGTCTTCAAGGAAGTGTTCCATTGTTTTACCACGATTGTCAGTGTATGTAGAGCCCCATATTGTGTTTCGACTGTTAAAATCTCCTACAATTATAAAGGGCCTAGGTAATTGGGTTGTTATTTGTATTAAGTCTTGTTGTGCAAACGGGGTACTATCCGGTAGGTATATATTGCATATGCTTAGTTGTTTGTGGAGTTTTACAGTGATGGCTACAGCTTCTAAGTTTGTATCTAAATTGATTTCTTTACTTTCTATGTCATCTTTAATAAAAATTGCTACGCCTCCACTTGCTCTGCCGGGGTTGAATCTGTTTTTGAAATATCCATTGTAGTTTTTAATATGGCTAGCTTGGGTAAATTTTAGGTTTGTTTCTTGGAAGCATAGTATGTTTGGATTAAAATCAGAAATAATTCGTTGTATGTCTACATGGCGTTTATAAAATCCATCTATATTCCATTGTATTATACTCATGTTATTGGTGTTTTAATTTGTGTATATCTTTATTTATTTTGTAAGTGCCTTTGTTCTAGATTTTTTTTTTTTTTTGGAGTATTTTATTTGTTTTATGATTTTATTGTGCGTTTTTATATTCTTGGGCTGGTTGTACTTGAAAAAGTAGATTAGATAATTTGGTTAATTTGGATTTTATTGATCTATCATTAATATAAGGTCGAACTTTTTCTATTACTTCTATTATTGTGGGTATATTGGATCCAATTTCATCACATATTGTATGTATATTGTTATGTTTATTACTAAAGTTTTCAACCAAGTATTTGAATTGTAGATACGTTATCTCGCTACTGTTATTGTTGCTTGAAAAAAAAGGTTCAGATAGTTTTAATGCATTGTCAATGTTTTTGTCATCTAGTTGTGTTGATGAATTAGAGCGTGAGAGTACTTTAGCTTTTTTTTTATTTGGTTGTAGTATAGTGGGAGATTGCGATGTTGCTTGAGATGATGTGTCCGATAGAGGCCTTTTCGTTGAATCTAGGAGAGGGTCATCTGAATTATCATTTTTATTTTCGTTAATTGATTTTTTTTGGTTATTATCAATATTAGTATTATACTGTTGTATTTTAGATTGCGCCCTTTCCTTGTAAGCGATATATTTAGAGAGGGCCGTCTTGTCAAGTGTTGGATATTCGGTAAGGTCCGCCCAATCAATCCGATTGTTGGCAAGTTCTTCGTCCATGAGTGGGCTGTCGGGAGGCCGGATGTTCTCCAGGATATCGGCGTTTTCGTCTATGGGTGACATTAGTTGTTCTGTTGGTTCATTATATAATTTAGGTTCTTGGTTCAAGTTATTTGTGTTATTTTTACATGACATTGAAGTGTGGCCTATTGATTTACACGTAAAGCAGGTAATTTTATCGTCTGTAAAAAAAATTCTGAATTGGGTTTCATTTGTTTGAACTAGAAGTGTTCCTGGTAGTTTCGGTACATCATCGTGTTTAATAAAAATTTGGCGACGAAAGCTTAATATATGTTCATATCCCGCTTCTTTAATTCCTGCTTTTAAATAATTAATTTCCGATATAGGTGTTATGTTGATATTAGTCAATGCATTTATTATTACTTGGTTAGGGATGGAGGGGCATACGTTTGAAATGATTATTCGTTTAGCTGGGTTGAGTAGTTTGCGAATAGGTATTTCGTGTTCATTTATTTTTATTAAATTTTTTGTTTTTTCTAATAAAGTGTTTAATATTTTTTCGCTTGATAAAAAAATACATACACGACCCATTGATATCTTAGAAACAAATATGATATTAGAAGGTGAGATTATCTGGCCAATAGCGATAATGTAGTCTTTTAGTAATAGTCCGTCAATAGGATGTAATACAATAGCCTGTTCTCTTCTAGGTACGTTTGACGTTGCTAAGGCGAAGTTCAAATTATTATTGTTATTAGATAATATGGCCTGTTTATCTTGAGTAGTTTGTGAAGATGAATAGGTCGCGGTTTTAGTGGAAGAAGAGGTGGTACTTGGTATATGTGTTGTGGAAGTGGCTGAACGCAGAGCATCGCGTNGGTGGTACTTGGTATATGTGTTGTGGAAGTGGCTGAACGCAGAGCATCGCGTAAACCGGTTTGATCTACATTAGTTGAGTGGGAAGTTGGGATATTGATTTTAGAATTTACTAATGTTTTTGGTTTGTTTAATGTATTAGAAGTTTTAGGACTGTTAGTGTTACTTTTGTTTGTAGTTTGATTTGTTATGGGGGCTCTGTTTGAGAACGTTTGTTTGGGCTGTGAGCCCAGTTTGTTAAGATTCATTTGGTAGTTAAGTTGGTTTTAAACAGAAAAAGCCATACTACCTGTTAGCGAGCGTAAAGACAATATGCTATCGGGAGCTTGAAAAGCGATAACGCAATAATGAACACACGTGTTGCACTGTCGGGTGTGGAACACGTACTGATCTCTTAATTGTCTGGTTATTTTGTATATTAAATAAGTTAACTCTTTTTTTTTGTGAATATTAAATCTTGTATATTCATAATATGTGACATACATGTACAAATGATAACATCATATTATATGCTACTATAATATTACACTTTCTACTATAAAAGAATTTGCAAAACTACACTATAGACAGTTCAAATCCCAATTATTTCAACACAAAAATACGCTTATATCAGCCCTCTTTTGTAATACGAAATTAGAAATCTTCGTAAAACATTAAAAAGATGCTGGTGTCTAGACTCGCTAACTTAATTAAAAATAATTACTAGCATACTCTAATATTTTATGGCCTATAGTCGAACGTACTCTGATTTCATTACTAACCCATGTGCTAACTTTGTAAATATTATGAAAAAACAAAAGTATTTAATATTTTATTATTGTACTAAGTATTTCACTAGAAGGTATCTTTAATCATACACGAAATCATAAATACTATAATTCATACTTATAAAAATATAATTTTCTAAAACATACATTTTCTATATAAGATCATGTAACTTTTCTGCTATTTTGTTGTGTTATATAAAGTAAAAAAAAGTTTACACATTATTTTTTATTTCTCACAATTCTTTTTTTAGATAAGAGCTAGCGATCATAAGGTATGATATACAAATTTAGTTCATTATTAATATTATAATATTAATTATTTGCAAACTTTTAAAGGCTGAAAGGTAATTTTATAAGACTGTAATCATAGATCAGCTATGATTTATGTTTCAGAGTGTTGGACAGTTGACAAGAGAATATAGCAGAGATGAGAATGTTTAGATGGATGAATAGAGTGACTAGAGAAGATAAGATAATAAATGAGCATATAAGAGGGAGTATAGGTGTAGCGTCAATCGTGGATAAGATGAGAGAAAATAGACTTAGATGGTTTGGTCATGTTATGAGGAGAGAAGAATCGGAAGCTGTAAGAACAGTTATAGAAATAATGTTGAAAGAAGAAGAGGTAGAAGAATACCAAAAAAGAGATTGAGGGATGCTACTGAATATGATTTGAGAACAGCCGATGTGAGCGAATATGATGTGGGAGATCGTGTCAAGTGAAAGTTTAGAATAAGGGTGGCCGACCCAAAGTAGTGGAGATAAAGACTAGGAAAAAGAAAAAGATGAAGAATATTAATTTATAAACTTTTACGTTTTTTTTAAATAAATAAGCTATGGTAGAATTAGTCTTCTCAACATACTCATGGATTGTAATTTGTTACAATAAAATATTATATTGTAATACTTATAATAGTAACAATGGTATTTAGTATCATTGTAAATTATAGTAGGACTAGGCCTAATTGACACGAGTAAAAATTAAGTGATTTATACAGAATGATAAAATTAACATTATAAATATTTTGATACAAATGTGCATAACGTTGTTTTATACTATTTTTAGTTTTTAATTTATATATAAAAAATACGTGAAAAAGTATGCTTTTTACTTATGAGCCTACTTAGTAGTTTACTATAATTAATGATATTTTTTTAAGTAAAATTTTCATTTTTAAAAGATTTTTATGATCAAAAAATCTTTTCTAGATATAATTTGAGATCTATTAACTCATTTATTACAAATAATTGGCAACATAAAATGATATACTACCAAATTGATATCTTAAGATACCTTTTTCAATTCTCGGTTATTATTTTTAGGGTAATGAGGATGACTCAGATCAGGTACAAAATAATTTTTTAATTATTCATTTATTATATTTTTATTAACTTGTTATTTTTAATATCAATAATAAGTTATTAAATCATAAGAAGAAACGCCAATTATTAGAGTAGAATAAAGAGTGTTCAATTAACAAGTAGCTTTCTACTTGTCATAGGTTTAAACTTTTAGAAATAAAATTAAACATAAATATTTCATGAAATAGTTATAAATGTAAATATATTTTTATGTATCCCAAAAATATTTAGCCATCCAAACAATATAAGTCAGTAATGCATAGTTGAAAAACAATAGTTTTTCATAAAGATTTTCTCTTTCCTATGAATGGTGAGACTGATCTGAGACTGATCTGAGGCAGAATTTGGTTTTTTTACGTTTTTAAAAATTATACTTCTTGAAAAAAAAATGCATCATCTGGTTATCTGTGTTGCTATACTATAACACTATCACAGCAATAACAATTATAATATAAATGGCCGGCATTATTGACAGTTCATACGTGAAAGTATAAGTGCGTATTCTTACGATTGTTGGTGTAGTATTACTGAATAACAAAAACAAACATCCACTTGTATTTCGCGAAATATGGTTAGGAACGTTCATTATGACCGGTGAAATTCTTGCTCAAATGAACTGTGGGGGATTATTGCGCGAGTGCGCTTACGGGTAGCTGAGTGGACCCACGAAGAATAGTGATATGCTAGCCATCTTGGAAAATAGCTGACGCAGTGAAGAGTTAGACCTATCAAACACGATCCTGTACGAACACCCGCCGCTTCATTATGAGATACTTGTGACATAACACGAGTCTCAGCTAGACGAAGTCTCTGTGTAGTGGTGGACCATCAATCCTCCTATACACCCGAACCACCCGTTTAATTTGCCGCTGAAGGATTCTGAAGCTAAGTGTCTACACGAGAAGTACCAGACGACTGGTTGCCCTAACATCAGTTTGAATGTAGCATATACGAATGACATATACATCAGATTAGATTAGCGCCTAGGGAAAGGTGTGTTTTTAATAGACCATTTTTCTCAAGAAAATTCATGTCTCATGTATGAAAATGTAAACAAAAAAAATTACTAAAATAAGTAAAACCTCAGACTGGCTGATGGACTGTGATATTTATGTATTTGTTTTTTTGCGTTAACGAAGAAGGTTAATGCCGATCTAAAGAAATTTCAAACCGATCACGGCTAGTCTTTTGGGGAGGGATAAATAGCGGTTGGGTTCAATTTGATTTTAATTATTCCTGATCACTTTATCTAGTTGTCAGGGCAGAAAAATTGTGATGTTAATACCTCAGTGTCCAAAAATGTTCTTTTGCGCGATAAAAAAAATAATTGAATAGACTTAACAAAAGTTATAATATAATTTATATTATAATATATTACATTGTTCACCTTTAAATTTGCGATATTATATATTCTCAATATTATTTTTTTGTTTGACGAATTAAGTGGTTCATTATAAATAAACTACCCTGCATAAGTCTAACTGAAACAAATTTTTTTTAACTTTTCGGAAATAATACTACAGAAATGTAGTACGATATTAATCTACTTGTGCAGTTAATATAATATTATAAATAAAAAGCATTTTTTTATTTAAAGAAAGAATTATAACAGCATAAGAAAAATAATTTTTATTGTGATGTTTAATGATTTAATTTTTGCTGATTTAAAATAAAATAAGTTTTAATTATTTCTACAATAATAATTGTCTTCTTTAATAATTAAAGAATTATTAATTTCTTTAAAAAGGTTTCTGTATGTTCATAATTTTTGAAAATGTATATTAATTATAAATTATTAACAGAAATAATCTAGCATTAATAAATTGTATTCAAGGCAATGAAAATTGATTAAATTTGTATATGACACACAAATAACTCTTTATTTTATATTTAAGGCAACTACACAAGAAGTAAGTATTTAATAAATAAATCATTATAAAAATAATAAACTGCAATAAATAAATAATAAAGTGTTTTGACTCAATAAATAATAATAATAATAATTGCCATTTTGGCGCACTTGATAATCAATAATGATAATATAAAAGTAAAATTATGAAAAAATAAATTTTAATAATTTCAATGCCTTTTCAATTTTTTAATTAATGTTAATTAATTTTTTATGAAATAATGTTAAACTTTATCGTGAACACAGTAATCTTAAATTTTAAAAAATAGCAGTTGGTAATACCTATAAGTATATAATTTTCTAGCTCTATAGTATTTAATATAATTATAACATAGAATCAAATAATGTACTTATTAATATTAATCGCCAATTTTCATTTTATTCTAAAAAGAAACCGACAAAACAGGTATGAATTTTACATAATACTAATAACTAAAAAATAAATTTTAAGAAAAAACTATCAGAAACTTTTATTTACTATCATTAATTTTACATTAGGTACAATCATTGGTAGGAGGAACCGACCACTAGGTTATCCTAAAATTTCTCCACAAAAAATTCTACTAGTGCAAAGCCTTGATTACTATACGTTCTACAGTGAGAACTCCGAACGTTATTATCACCAGGCTGAGGACCAGTGGGCACAGCTGCGGGGGTTGACCACCGGACAGAATCTGGGCGTTCATCGTTTCCGCCAAATCTGAATAAGGTCGTTTTTTCGTTTCCGCCAAACTGATCTTCTACCTGTCTATCTAATAAAAAATTTGAGAACCATTTAGCTTTATCCATGGTAGACAGCTTCCCGTACCAAAATTTTCGGCATTTATTAGTTATAGAATTCAATGTTACGTTCAGGTCTGTATTTATGATTTTTGCGTGGGGTATTAATATTAATAATGTGTAAAATAAAGTAATTTTTTACAATATTTTTTTCCCATCGCCATCAATTGACATTTGCCCTCCTTAACCACTCTCTAAATATAGTCACATCGTTTTGGATAATTACTTATTTTATCACATAAGTACACTTTTATAAACAAAATATGGCGTTTTACCAAAGGTAAATAAATTATAATAGATGACTGTCTTAAGTATATATATATATATATATATATATATTTGTAATAAATAATAAAAATATAGTTTATAAGAAACTAGAGTCATCAAAACATTGAAATAAAATTCAAATATTAATTATGTGCTTAAAAAATATCTAATATGTGTAATAATATAATAAAAAATAAATCTATGAACTATACATTTTTCGGTAGTTGTTGGAAACTAATTTCATAAATTCAAGTCTGCTAATTTATTAAACTTATCAATTGCCTCTTTTATTTTATTGAAACGGATTTCAATTTTATTCCGTACGCTTATTGAGATTACGTTATTAGAACTATATATTTTAATGTAATTTTAAGATTGAACGTTTTCTATTAAAATTTTTAAAAATATATTAATTAAAATTATTTTTTGCGGTCTTTGGAAAATATCGTCTATAGCTTTGCGTTTACAGGCGCCTGCTAATTTTTGTCTCATAATTATGGGATCAGAACAAGGGCCATTACATGTATGTTTTATAATACATATTAAAACTAATTTAAAATAAGGTCAGCTTTAATCCATTAAACTAAAAATTTTAAAAATACCTGTTTGATCAATAATTTCATTAAGCTCATTCACGTGAATGGTACCTTTGCATTCTTTTACAAAACAACGCCAACGTATGTAACCCGTTTGTATTGTTTATGTGCAAAACGAAAGTTAAAATTATTCAATAAAATCATTTGTTGGCCCCGCTTACTTCTGATATATTCAAATAACATTTTAATTAAAAAAGTAAAATAAAAAAGAACGGATGGCAAAATATTTATCGATATACCGATCAATACACTGCTATCTAACTAACAATAATAGAATAGGAAAAAGTAGATAATTATTATCGGATTATTTTGGCAAATATTTTAACCAGTGGTTCTCAAGCCTTTATTTGTAGACAGGTATAAACTATCGGTTTGGCGGAAACGAAAAACCGACCTTATTCAGATTTGGCGGAAACGATGCTTGGCGTAAACGATACGGTCAATTTTGGCGGAAACGATAATCTCCCCAGAATCTAGATTTCGAGTACTTTTGTGGGTACATGGTTTTTTTTTTAGGACTGCTTTTATACGGTACACAAATTATGATAATTTTTTTACATAAAATTTACTCCATACTCGTTTTGTAAGAATTTATTCAGACTTATTTAAAAATAAGAAAAAAAGTTTTTATAAAATCACTATGATAAAATACTCTGATTCGTATTTGAAACAAATTAAAATTTTTGACTTTCGAAGACGATTACTTATAATGGACATAGCTCCGGAACATATAGTAATCTTTTTATCTCGGTATTTATACTCTTGAGTGAAGGAATAAATGGACTGTATATATAAAAAGAGACAACTGATTCCTCACACGCCACACCATAAATAAGAGAGGTTGGGTTTAAATAAGATAACTAGAATGCAGTTATAAAGTATAATCAAATATTAAATTAATAAGTAAATAAGTACAAAAATAATAAACTTCAATAAGTTAATAATTAGGGCTAAGAGTTATATGTATTTATAAATTTTATTAAATTATTTTGAATGCTTAGTTTTTTGGTAGAAAGCGCTTTTAACAAAGACCTAGTGGACCATTTGACATAAACACCGTTGTGTACACTCTTTGCGGTAAATTTAAAAACTGACGCAACATTGAGATTATCTTTCTACATAAGTATTCATCACTTGAATGTATTAGTAAAAGAATTTCAGACCTAACAAGATAGTGTTGTCAGTTTTCTAGCGAAATTAAATCGAAACAATAAGTTTGAATTGGTGAATTCACTCGTCATCGATGTAATAAAATATTATCATTCTGAGATTAGTACTGTTGCGTCATTGTAACAACTCACCTCGTTTGTTGACAAAAAGTCGTCCATTGTGTCCTATGGCAGTCTTTGTCTAAAATCGAACTACCTCTATTAGATGGAAGCATCACATATTGGCGGTGATTTAAAAAAAAGTATAATTGACTAGATCAGATAATTATCATCAGACTCTAAACAATCTCCATCTAAAGAGACTATGGTACGAATTGCAACGTAGTGCTCAGTACGCCGTTGTTTGCGTTCCATATGATCGCGGTAATTATCATTAATTTCACGTATTATTAGACAGCGGCTCTTAAATTTGAGCAATAACCAGTGAGTGTGTCGTTCGTTTTTGACTTGTGCATCGTGTGAATCAACACAGTTGATTCAGTAAAAATTTGTACCACTAGTACTTTTGTGCCTCAACCGATTTTCAGTTGTAAAGACTTATTTATTTTATCACAAATGCTCGCCTATCTATCGTGTACTGTTTGTGCGTGGTACAGTCAGTGCTCAAATTGGCAAAAAATAAGTAGGGGAGCTCAACCTAACAATTTGAAATTTGCGTCCCTAGCGTTTTGAAGACCTTTTTTTTTTACTCATTACTTAAATTAGTCAGAAAACAAGCAAAAAAAAAACAACGATAAATGATAAGTGAAAACTCTAACAGTGATAACTGAAATTGATAACATGGGGTTCAGCGAGCACATATACATATTATCTGTTATGTTATGTTGTTCTGTGATATATTACCATATACACGATACCACGATATTACAGAGCAATGAACTATAAGAACTATTGTAATATCATACTATAATGAAATATGATATCATATAAATTATAAAAAATTATTTGATTACAAAATATTTTAAATTGTAAAATTGATCACAATTTAAACCTATATTAAAAAAAAAAAAAACCCAGCACAGGGGGGTCGCGGCACAATGGTGATGTGGCATAGTTGGATCAAGTATAATGATATCTGATAGTGATTAAAATCACTATAAAAAAAAACCCAGCAATGGGGGGTCGCGGCACAGTGGTGACGTGGCATAGTTGGATCAAGTATAATGATATCTGACAGTGATTAAAATCACTATAAAAAAAAAACGCTTCGATGCAAATCTTTAGATAGTGTTTAATTTTAAAAAATTAGTGGATTATTCCAAAAGCTTCATAAACTGCTAGTTCCTTATTAATATCCTGATTAAGACAAAGTATGTCGAATAAAAAAGAGATTATTAGAAAATAGTATTTCCCATAAAAAAATTATATTGATCAATACACTTTTCAATAAGTTATAGCATTATAATGTTAAAAATGTAAAAAATAAAATTGAGAATTTTCACACAATAATAGCATTTGGTAGCCATTTTCACCTTGAAGATAAAATAAAGTCCGAAATTTTTTTTTTCCATGATAAAGTATATTACATTAGCTTTAATTTAAGATATATATAAAAGTGTCAGACCTTCCGGAACACTTTCAAAAGTTACGTTGAAAAAGTTCTACTTTCTATATGCATTTTTATGTTTTGAATCCCCCCTGTATTTAGGGAAATGGTCCGATTTAATAAAACAGTATGTCGAATAAAAGATCTATATAAATTTTACTTCTCATAAAAAAATTGTAATGATTCATACATTTTTCAAAAAGTTATAGCATTATAATGTTAAAAATGTAAAAAATAAAATTGAGAATTTTCACACAATAATAGCATTTGGTAGCCATTTTCACCTTGAAGATAAAATAAAGTCCGAATTTTTTTTTTTCATGATAAAGCATATTACATTAGCTTTAATTTAAGATATATATAAAAGTGTCAGACCTTCCGGAACATTTTCAAAATTTAAGTTAAAAATTTTTTGTGAAAAAATTGTCATTTTAAATCCCCCCTTGTGGGAAGGTTAAGGGTTAAATTTATAAAAAAAATATACCAAATGAAAGGTAAAGACATCATACATCTACAAAAAAAAGAATTATATTGATATGTTCATTTTTGAAAAAGTTATGGCACTTTTAAGTAAAAAAAATTGAAAAAATTTCGAAAATTAGCGATTTTTAAATTTGTAATTTTTTTGGAGGTTTCCCCCTTTTACGGGGAACGAGGGAATTTTTTTCAATTTTTAAGGGTAATGTCTTCGACTAGATACGATTTGTGATCTTTTGACGTATCATTGAAAGAAATCGGTTCGGTGAGAGCTGAGAAAAAGTGGTAACAGACACAAAAAAAA